TGGTGTCTGAGGAGGTTGGTATGGTGGTCTAGATGGTGTCTGAGGAGGTTGGTATGGTGGTCTAGATGGTGTCTGAGGAGGTTGGTATGGTGGTTTAGATGGTGTCTGGGGTGGCTGGTACGGTGGTCTCGATGTGTACGGTGGCAAAGTTAAAGGATTCTTTGGCGTTGATATAATATATCCTGGATGTGGTGTCGTCTGAACGGTTGATATCTTGGGTGTCGTTGGAGGAGTTAGTCTAGATGTCTTCGGAGTTGTATACGTATATTTTGTCGTCTTAGTCGGCGGAGTCGTTAAAGTAATTGGTGGTGGCCTGGTGGTCGTCGTTAGACTTGGTGGAAAAGTTAATGGTGTCTCCGGAGTTGGATATGAATATCCTGGCGTCGTACTCGGCGGAGTCGTGAAAGTAATTGGTGGTGGCCTGGTGGTCGTCGTTAGACTTGGTGGAAAAGTTAATGGTGTCTTCGGAGTTGGATATGAATATCCTGGCGTCGTACTCGGCGGAGTCGTGAAAGTAATTGGTGGTGGCCTGGTGGTCGTTTTCGGACTTGATGGATAAGTTAATCGGGTCCCCGGAGTTGGATACGAATATGTTGGCGTTGTTGTCGTAGGTGGTTTTATCGTTGGATACGTCTTTTTCGTTTGTATTGTGGGTTTTGTTGTATCCTCTCTGTTAAAGGAGAAATTATTGAAATAAAAAAATATTTACTGTCTCGTTCATTGGATTATTTCTTGCTCTCATTGGAAATCTGAATAATCTTTAAGTAATATTTTTCATTTGATTGAAATTATTCACCTTATAGGAGGTAAAGTTAAAGGTATTTTAGGTGTTTCGTAGTAATATCCATCAAATGCTCTTTGGGGTTGTGGATAATTCTCTATCGCCCGTTTATCCCTTTCAATTTGCTGCGCATGGCATGTGGATAGTACCGCCACGAGGGTGACGATACACAGCAGCTTCCACTGTGAACAGAAAAAGATAGAAAATTAAAATAGGATTTAAATTGTATATTATTTATTTTTCAGTGAACTTGTGTTCGATTTAAGGCCTCGCGATAGTACGAGCATCATCTTCGTGGGATAATCTCATGCCCCACCTATAATGAACTTACATAATAACATCTTACAACGCAGGGACGATCGTGAAAGGTTTGTTGGCACGAAATACACTATACTATGAATGCTTTTATTGATTGGTAATTTGCTAAACCTCTAAAGATAGTCATTGGTTGTTTTTATGGTCTTATTAACTAATCGCTATTTACAAACCTGTGATTTCGATAAATGAAGTATTAGATACTCTATATTTAAATTTTTGAATGAAGTTGGAAGTAATTTCTATATTTTGATGTAATAACATTCTTGATGACATCAAAGAATTTTTTAATTGATTAAAATTAGACTTATCGTATATTGATTGAGTATTACTAAATCATCTTGTCTCATTCGTACATAATATCTCATAGATACAATACGACGAATGACGTTTCTAGCTCGGAGAAACGTCCAGTGACCTTTATGTTGTACAATTTATATGGAATGATCGCGCGCTTGTGGGAGAGATAATATTCTCTAACATCGGTGTCCGTCAGAAGTGTGCGAAAGGTTTTTTGCAGTGGTTTACAAGAGTGTTGCCGTGTATTTCCATGGTCTGCGAAACACGCGATACATATTATCGTAAAATTGCATACGCTTCACCTTGCATCGTATTGCAATGCACTTGGTATAAATATTTGTATTTTAAATCTTTTGGAAGTGTCAAGAATACGATCTGGCTAAAGCTTCCATATTTCGTGCAAAAAATTTTCAAATTTTCTTGTCGATGAAAAATCACGATTTTATTTTTACATTATTTGATCGAAAGTTTAATCGATCGTTACGTATTTGACTGACCTATTAACAATTCGAAAAAAAAACGGTAAGATACTTTTCGAGATAACGAGGTATCAATACAATGATGGCTTTTATAAGATGCGTCAGGACTTCATCGCTTATGGGATATGCAAACTTTCTTGCATCATTGCACCAAGAAGTAGACGCAATCCATATCCAGCGCGTTATAAAACGCAAATCGATGAGTAGCTTTGAAGAAGTCGTACGTCGTTCGTGATGTAATCTTTGAAAACACAGCCGGCCGTGCGGAACATGTTTTTAAATCGAAAATATATGCCATCCGGCTTAATTTCTTAATATTTTCATTGCATATGTAAAAGACATAAGATACATGATAAAAATGATACGTCACCTTGGCCAGACGATTTTCACAAAATGACTATTAAAGAAAAATTCTAAATAATAGTTGGTACATAAAAATATCATTGGAAGATCGATTTAGTTTAATTTACAACTTAATAATTTGGTCGTATCGTAAATCAATGAGTTAGATACGGCACCTTCTTTCACCGCTGAAAGATCTATTGAAATGGAATACATGAGAGATAGGCGAAAATAGTTTCTTGCATAATGTAAACGCCTGTTGCAGTTACGCATTACGACTTTAGTACTAATAAAGCGTAGAGAAGAGATGACCAAGACGTCTGCGTTCTTTTACCTGCACTTTCTAATTATGTGTTGATCTATACGTGATAATGCGCGTAATTAAATGAAAAATGAAGAGGAACAAAGACAGCAATATTGTGAAACGTTAGAGAATCCGCCTATTGAGATATGTACAAGATATGGTTTCTACGATACAAACAAACTTATCGAAACTTTCTTCGAATTTTATCAGATTTGTTCGTATCTTTCGATGGTTCTTAAACATAAGAATTTCTAACAAGACAACAAAAACTGTTTATATTATTCTCGATTGTTAGTACGGAGAAAGTTTTCTTGGTAACGAATGTTCGGAGAATTGGAATGCTTCACGCCTCGTAATTGTTCTTTATCTCTTTCACTCGTTAATAATTATTTTTAAATTATAGAAAAAAATCTCCAAGCATAGAACTTATATAGTCGGTTGGTAAAATGATCGTTCCTAACATAACAAAGATCCGCCTTGTTTTATGGTACATGCAAATGGAAAATCCATCCGCCGTTTTTTATCTCCGTCATTATTATACGGCAAGGACGTTGTACGCTCGCTAATATGGAAGATACTATTATTGAACGTAGGATTTCTACTTTCACTCTTAATAAAAAAGTAAAGTATCGAAGCATCATTAATGATTTTTTTTTCTATCTATTTACAGAATCTTTTTTCTTTTTTATTCCTCCCCCTATTTCATATTCTTTTTTTTTCCTTTTTCATAGATTTAATTCACCTCTTGTATAATTTTATTACTTTAATAATGAAGATGACTTTTGGAATTTACAAGTCACGTTGCGTTCAAAAGATATTTTAAATAAAATGAAAAGAAATGAAATAAATTGAAAAAACAAAAATAAGAAAAAGTTGTCCCCATCGTCTGGCCAAAAGGCAGAGGTCCCAATTGTGACGAAATCGAAAGTTTAATCGGCCGATCTCCGAAGAATTCGAGGAAAGAGAAGGAAAAAATATCGAGAGAAAAAGATGTAGAAGAGGAGGATGAATAAAAAAAAAGAAACGAGACAGAAAAGAAGGACGACATGATATTTATCATTCTTACGAAAGGCCGCGGATCATCTTGAAATTTACTGACCAATTTGACTTCTCTCGATTACACAACCAAAATACCTTGCTTTTACTTTAATATTCTCTTTTACCTATTTATTTATTTTTCCCTTCTTCTTCTTTACATATTATCTCGTCTTCGACTCCTATCTTAACTTTCGAGGATACGTTTGTCGTAAGGAAAAAAAACCATTTCTTTCTTTATATGAGTTTTGTGATATCTTTTTCTCTGCTATTTATTCTTATTTATTAATTTTTTCATTTCTTCTAATTTCTTCCCGGTTTCATCTTAACGATCTTCAAAAGAGAATACATTTTTCTGTCTACGCGAACATTCTTGTATCATTCTTCTACTATTTATTGATTTATTTTTTTTTTTCTAATTTATGCTAATGTTATCTTAACATTTGGAGGACGATCATAGTAAGAGAATAAATTATCCTGCCCATGAGTGTTCTCATATCGAACGGCTTACATAAATTCAAAGAAAGGAACACGTGGGCGAGTAGAATAGTACTACAAGATGAATCCACTGAAACGACTAAAGTACTACCGAAGGTAATAAACTTAGGTGATGATAGTTGTTTGTAGTACGAGTAATGAGTAGGTGGTTATAAGACGTAACCACAAAGAAATTGAAAGTTCTTTAACATCGTAATAATAATTGTTACACGAACGAATGACGAATTGTCATTGACCTTCATTTTCACAATTCAGTTTAACATTTGAAAAATATCATTTGAAAGGGATTCTTCATTAGGATTAGTCTAACGTAAGGTATCATAATAAATATGAATATGTAATATGTTTCTGAACAATGGTATAAAAAGAATTTTGAAAAGATCATCAACGCGCATCATCAACTCTAAACTTTGGCTTAACGTTCGATCATGGATTTTACGCTCGTACTTGCTCTTTGTTAATCATTCGTAATAAATGTCAGCTATGACGGATTAGTAGTTGGTAATAAATCGTTTCGTTGAAAATAACCACGATCCTCGGAGTTGAGAGGGAAAAAGAAACAAATAGAAAAAAGATAAAACAGAAAAAGAAAAAAAAAAAAAAAGAAATTCGTTAAGAGATGGACAGGTCGAATTACATTTCTCACTCCCACGACGAACGTTTTCTCTTGTGTCATCGATTTGGAAGAGTTATCCATCATGCTGCCTTATTATGTATGTGTGTATGTGTGCGTGTTTATACGCGTATAGATTGATTTACCAAAAACACACACATACAGATTTTCACATAAAAAAGATATGAAAATATCAATAGGAGTGATTTGCTTATGTAATGACGTTGCAATTTCGATGACAATCTTATCGCAACTTTCTTCGTACTTTTAATTCTATAAGGAACTGTTAACGCGTTTCATACCTATGAATAAAATAATTGTTAGATGTAAAATATATATAAAGAAAAATGTAATTGTTATATCTACGTGTAGATAATTTGTTTACATATTTATATCGATTTCAATAATGTATGCAATTATGTATGCGAGACGAGTATATTTGAAATAAAAATACAATGTTGAATAAGTCAAAGAGGAGGATTAGGAATAGACGTGGCCTGATCTTTCATTCCTGAATCGACTCACGGAGTTAAACTATAGTTTAGTAAGTTCGTTAAATATCGATCTTTTCTATACTACTTTTGTTTTGAAAGCAACGAGCCAGAATTTAATTAAATTCTTATAAGTTCAACATACAACACGAACTACCAGTTAAATAGTGATCGTATCTAATAAAATTTCTGCTAATAAGACTATAGTTCCTGTAAATGATAAGTTATGGAAAAAAAAGAAAGAAATAATTAGGAAGCTATTTTTATATATAAAAAAAAATGTTTTTAAAAATAACGAAACATGATTATTTCGTATTTTAAGTGGCAAAAGTAGGAAACGGTTTAGGCTAGGAGCATCCTAAGATATCTAAGATCGGTTAGAATGTCACGTTACGTCACGGAACCTCACGACTTCTAATAACGTACGAGTCGACCGATTCTCTTTTATTCGGAACGTACAAAATTGACCTTTAAATCATTTAGAAATTTCTCTATTGCGCTAGAGTCCGAAAATGAACGGACGTTGGATTAGACCAGCCGATTCGTTGCGTGACAGATTGTTGTCTTCCTCAAGATTGCATTCACGAAAATTACTCCGGAAGTCGTCTTTAATGTAGATAAATATTTTTTCTCGATGGTTTATTAAATACTCAGGAGTACTTTTGAAAATGTAAATTTTCACATTTATCTTTTTTCTTTTCTTTCTCTCTCTCTCTCTCTCTCTCTCTCTCTCTTCTTCTCTTGTTTCGCGAAATTACGTAAACAAAAAAATGATTAGGATAGAATTTTTAAAACAAAGTTAAAGATTATAAGAGAAATATTTTTCTAATGTTGTATTTGATGGAAAAAGGAAAGTATTGTCGAAAGTAAATGTTTTCGTTGGAATATGAAAAATGCATAAAAGACTTAGTAA